TCCACCCTAAACCCTACCCTAAACCCTAAACCCTAAACCCGAAACCCCGTGACCTTCAACGTTTGCAGGCGACCTCGAGGTGTACAAGGCGAAGTTGCGAAACGAGTTCGGATACAGCCGCTCTACAGCACGGATGCTGGTCTTGAGCCTTGTACCGGTTTAGGGTTTAGGGTTTAGGGTTTAGGGTTTAAATTTTCCCAACACCGGGGTACCCCTTTTATACCTTTGATAGAAGAGAATCCCCTTCAGGAACTCCCAAAAAGGGCCCTAGAAGCCCCTAGATCCCACAACTTCAAATCCGATGCTCGATGTGTGCTATTCCTTCATCCGTGCCGAGGCAACAAGGACATGAAGGCGGATCCGGATTTGAAGGACGGGTTACCCTAAACCCAAAGCCTGTTTTCCTAGGGTGCAGGGATCTGGGTTTAGGTTTGGGGTTTAGGGTTTGGGGCTTACAGATGTTTACAGTAACCTCCAGAAAGTTGGAACCTGGTCTAAGGATGATCTTAGCTGGGATTCCCTTTAGTATACCTTTTGGGGTGTGGGCATAAGGATGTTCCAGTTTTTTTGGAGTTTGCTGTACATCCTAAGCCCTTTTTGGGGTTTAGGGGTGCAGGTGTGCGCCTTAGACTGCTAGATAGGAAATGGACCCTAAGCCCTGCAATGTCTGAAAAAAAAAGGCATGCCCGAGAGACGTGAAAGAGCTGGCTGAAACACACAACAAGACAAGAAGATGCGAAAAATCAGCCAGATGCAGGTAGATGAACGAAGACAATCCTCCACAATCAAGACGCCAGGTATATAACTACCATTTGCTGAGGAACCCTTAGAACACAGAACATCATAATCCCTATATTGCCCTTACAAGAAAGTTTCCTCTTTTTTTTTTTTTTTTTTGGGGGGGGGGGGGGGGGGGGGGGGGGGGTGAGCAATTGGTAGATCACTGGTCCGCGTTCCTTCTTAAGACCTTTGGGAACTTGGTCTGCAGGGCCCCCAAGCCTTTCAGCACACGGGAACCCTCAAAGCATCCCTGCAGTTAGGGTTTAGGGTTTAGGGTTTAGGGTTTAGGGTTTAGGGTTAGGGTTTAGGATTTTTTTGGTTTACATGGCCCCAGAACTTATTGGGCTCAGGCACAAGTAGGATTTACGAAAATGGGGACCCCTAACTTATAGTAGGACCCCGAGGTACCCGCAGTATCGGAAAAGCCCAAACGGGACCCTAAACCCTAAACCCTAAACCCTAAACCCTAAACCCTAAACCCTAAACCCTAAACCCTAAACCCTAAACCGCAGGGGGTATTGGGTTTAGGGCCACTTCTTTCCCGAAGGACATGGAGGCCCGTCTCGCGGCCTTCGAGAAACGCAGCTAAGGCTGATGTGCGAGCCTCAAATCGTGGTCTTGTCACTCGATTTCCAGATTGTGTTTTGCAGTTGGGCCCTATTTTCTCAAGCCCACGGTTTAAGGTTTAGGGTTTAGGGTTTAGGGTTAGGGGGTTAGGGTTTTGGGTTTTGGGTTTAGGGTTTAGGGTTTAGGGTTTAGGGTTTAGGGTTTAGGATCATCTTTGCCCAGGCCCCTCTAGGGTTCTAGGCATCGTGTTTAAGGTCACTCGGTCACAGGGGTTCTCTTGCGGCAGGCGAAGCTCTGAACGAAGACTCTGGCTCCTACTGTAGCCATCGCCTGGTGAGCACTGCCCGAAACCCGAAACCCGAAAAACCAAACCCCAAACCTCAAACCCTAAACCCTCTACCTCAATCAAGCCCCCTACAATATGCCATGGGGATGCCTCTTTCAGGGTAGGATCACCACCCTCGGCCCTGTAAGCTTCTACACATCTGCAGTTTCTAAACCTTTAAACGGCTGCAAGTCCTAACCTCAGACACCCGCACTCCAAGGCTGTCGCGCTCCCTTCGTAGCCTCAGATCGCCTAGCACCGCATCACGAAGAAGATTCCTAGATCCTAAACAACCGGCATTTCCCAAAAAATAAGGGTACCCACGTGAACACCGCACATGGTGTATATTCCTCTTTATAAGGAAACCCTTGGAGTAGTCCCCTTTTCTTCAGGAAACCCTCAGAATAGGAAACCCTCAACATCGTGGACGGCCAGGGGCCGCCAAACGTTCGGCCAGCGGCAGTGCAACGGCTTGCCCCAACAAGGCAGCCGCTAGGGTTCAGTGTTTAGTGTTTAGGGTTTAGGGTTTAGGGTTTAGGGTCGTTCGGATGCACCAACAGTGGGCCTTCAAGTGTCGGGGTTCAGTGTCTGAAGCGACAGGTGCCGATCTGAATCCTCAACCACTTATTCCTTACTTCGCCTTTGGTTGAACTTTAAACTTTTTGGGTTTCCTTATTTAGTAGGAATGATAAAGTTTAACCTTTTTTCCCCTGGCTATTGGAGAAGTAAGATTCCTAGGCACATGTCATGTTGCTCTGTCGCGTTGCGGAGTAGTAGGGCGGTGGCCTTGACCCCTCCCCTTCTTCTCTCCTAAATAGGATAAGGGGGACCCTTAAAAGGGAACCCCTTCTGAACCCTCTTCTGGCTCTCTTAAGCAGGGACCTTATTCAGAGGGTCTATATCCCCAAGGGTCCCCCTAATCCTATCCCCTATTCTCAGCCGGAGAACCTATCTTGCAGATAGGGATTGGCTCCTTGGCAGGTCAGGCATGCGCGATGCATTTGCTGGCAGCGTCCAATTCCTATGAGGCGCATGGCTATGCAAAACAGGCCACGGGACTCTAGCTCTTCAATCCCTGTGCCTAGACCACGGGCTACATGCTCAGTGGCTCCACCTTTTAAGTCGGTGCAGCCCAGAAGCGGAACTGCATCAAAGGATCTCGGCAGACCGGTTTGTGTCCACTGAACCGACTGCTATCGGAGTGTAGACCGCAAGGGCCAAACTCCTCCAAATTGTGGCTGACTGCGCAAGCAGTAGCCCACTAAAGAAAGCAGAATTCGATATTGAACTCCCAAACCCAGGGTTTAGGGTTTAGGGTGTAGGGTTTAGGGTTCAGGGCATGGGGTTTAGGGTTGGCTGGAGAAAGAGGACTGATGCATCATGTTTGGAGTCGGACCAGAACGTGAAGGCCAACCCACACAACCCCAAATGATAGCCCTGAACAGGATGTCGTCTTGGCTGTCCCCAACCTTATAAACCTTTAGACCCGAAACCCAACAAACGCTCCCCCTTTTTTTCTTGGTTTGGTGGGGGGGGGGGGTTACGTTCTTTCGTTAGCAGGGCCTTTGGGTCTTCACTGGTCCAGAGTTTACGTAAGGCTTAGGGCTTTGAGGTTGTAGGGTTTAAGGTTTAGGTTGCTGAATTTGTTAGGGGTACCGCATCATCGAACGGAAACCGTGCATGACGACCGTGAACTTCGAGGGGCCTTTAGCATTCTGAGCTTGGTGGCCCAGTGGTGCCCTTTACCCTTTTTTGGTTCTGGGCTCCCTGATAAAGTAACAAACCCAAAAAAGGGTGCCCTTATTATAATATGGTTACTGGGCTACTAGGGGTTACATGATCCAAGCTACTGTTTTGGAGTCTGGCCAGGTCACGTTTCCGCGCACTCCGCTCGCTTTCAGACGTAGAATCAGACATTTGAAGTTCCGTTGGCATCTCCACGCCCCCTGCAACCCTGCAAAGTGCCACACAGTGAGTTCTTGAAGACTAAGCCCGCGCGGGGTGTGAGACATGCACCTGCCCAGTTGGCCCTAAACCCTCAACCCTAAACCCCCAAAAAACCCTAAGACCCTAAAACCCGTAAACCCTAAACCCCAAACCCCTAGGTCGAAGAACGTTCATATGTCTTAGGTCACATCTAAGCCATGGATTCTAGCTCCCAGAGTGCGTGCCCTTTTTTCCCCCTTTAGGTAGGGGTTTAGCGTTTAGGGTTCAGGGTTCAGGGTTTAGGGTGTAAGGTTTAGGGTAACTCGGACCCAGAGTCGGCCCTTATGTAGGGTTTAGGTTCCCTTATAAGCCCGTGTTAAACCAAAAAGGGGTACTTCTTTCCCTAGGTTACTCTTGGCTCTAGGAGAAATCCCGAAGCATGGAGTAGGGGGTTTAGGGTGTTAGGATATGGGGTTTAGGGTTTAGGGCTTAGAGTTTAGGGTTCAGGGTTTGCATCATGCCTGGTCATTCGAAGGAGGCTGTTTGGAAGATAAGGGCGCGGAGATCTGCCAACACAAATCTGTCAACGCCGCTTTCTCATGGCGAACAGCACTCCTTTAGCCTACCAAAAGATCCGGGCCCTGTCCGGGAAGAACAAGCTTGAAAGACACGATAGGCCGCTTCTTTCCAAGGGGCAACCTGTCTGATTTTTTTTTTTTTTTTTTTGGGGGGGGGGGGGTTTAGGGGGTTTAGGGTTGGTAGAATCCCTGTCAATCTCACAGGGATGATAGCTGGTTCCCCACAGAAGCAGGACAAGCAAGGTGTCGCAGCCTACACACCTTGTGGGTCTCGGGTTTAGGGTTTAGTTTTAGGATTTGAAGTTTGTTTGAAGGTTCATGGGGGAGGGGGGGAGGGGGAGGGGGGGCGGGTTGTGAGTAGGGGTTTTCAACTATGCAAAATCAACAAGGCTTCTAATCGGTTACCAATAGCTGCTTTAGTTTTGTCCCAGCTGCTAATTCAGAAGCTTCCAAGCAGGTGCTGGTGTTTACACAGATCGATCAGCTTCAGATGTTTGATTTCCAGGGTTGAGGTTTAAGCTACGATGTTTGCCTGGGGGCCACAGATCTGACTGGAAAAAGCGAAGGCCCTAGCCTTTGAGGAGCCCTATGGGCTTTTGGGGTTTAGGGTTTAGGAATTGCCCTAGGAAACTGGACAAGTAGTCAGAGGCTGGAAGTTTGCTTCCGGACACAGGCCCAACTTGCCCTAAACCCTAAACCCTAAATCTAGTTTCCTAGGGCAACCCTAAACCCCTAAACCCTGAACCCTAAAAGCCTGAACCCTAAACCCCGAAACCTCAACCCTTAAAGACGCCCCCCCCCCCCCCCCCACGTCCTGGACCGAGGCTGTATCATCCGGACCGTCTGAAGAGCTCCGGGGGCGTTCTCAGCCAGGCACTTTTTTATTTTTTGTTTAGGGTCTCGGGTCGGGGGCATTTAATCCCCTCCCCCGAGTAAATAAATATATATATATGTATATATATATATATATTTATTTATTTACATTTAGATATTTTGTTTTTGTCTAAGGTCGGGTTTTAATTTACTGGGGGGGGGGGGGGGTTAAGATTAGGGGGGAAGGGATTGTTCTACATCACCATGTGCTCTTGGATCAGGCGTGCTGCAGCTTCGTCGTCAGCCAAAAGTCTCAACCTGAAAGCCCTAAGCCTTCATGACATGACCCTAAACCCTAAACCCTAAACCCTAAACCCTAAAGGCGGCGGCTCAGCGCAGCCATGAGCAGCGCATGGCTCTGCTGAACGCAGCGCACCGCGTGCTTTCGGACCCCAGGACGGGGCGACTGAGGGAGCTTGGGGGGGGTTTAGGGTTTAGGGTTTAGGGGTTAGGGTTTAGGGTTTAGGGTTTAGGGTTTAGGGTTTGGGGTTTGGGGTTTGGGGTTTGGGGTTTGGGGTTTGGGGTTTGGGGTTTGGGGTTTGGGGTTTGGGGTTTGGGGTTTAGGGTTTTGGGGTTTTGGGGTTTGGGGTTTGGGGTTTAGGGTTTAGGGTTTAGGGACTCTCAGTGTTTAGGGTTAACGGCGCAGCATGTATGGGGGCTCAAGTTCGTGTAAGTTAGAATACTAGCTTGACCTTCAGGCCCATGCCAACTCTCTGCGAACCCATCCCTGCATAGCAGTGCCTTGACCTTTTTAATTTGGGGCCCTAAGCCCTCAGCCCTAATGCCCAAACCCTCTTTGAAACCCTTTTTGGTTAGGGTTTAGGGTTTAGGGTTTAGGGTTTAGGGTTTAGGGTTTAGGGTTTAGGGTTTAGGGTTTAGGGTTTAGGGTTTAGGGTTTAGGGTTTAGGGCTTAGGGTTTAGGGTTTAGGGTTTAGGGTGTAGGGTTTAGGGTTTAGGGTTTCCAGGCTGCGCTTGGCGTATGACAAGACGCTGCCAGAGCCGGATGAGGCGCTTCCTTGTGCCGCAGCCGGTTTTCCCAGCTTACTAAAACCTGAACCCTGAACTAAACCTTAAACCCTAAACCCTAAACCCTAAACCCGAATAAGTTTCCTTTTCATGTTGCAGGATGCAGGGCTATTCCCAACCCTGCACACCCACCCGAGCTTGGAGATCCGATGTGGATTTTGATGCAAGGTACATGCAGAAGCTTCTGCAGTTTAGGGTTTAGGGATTAGGGGCTTAGGGCCAGTTTAGGGTTTAGGGCTAACCCTAAACCCTCAAACTTGTAGGAATGCACATGCACCGTTGAATAGCTGGCAAGGGGGCAGGTCCACGCAACATGAAACCCAGCAAAAAGCGGGTTCTGGGTTTCGTGAGTGAAGTGTCTAGGTTGGGATGTTCCCCCTTATACTATCAGTCCATCATAGGGATTAGAATAGGGGGTACTATAATTCCTGTAAAGGACCGTTAGTATAAGGGGAAACATCCCAAGATTCAGGGTTTAGGTGACTGAAGTGGCTAGGGAAGAAGCAAACGTGCACCACGAAACTCTTCAGGGAGGGGGGGGGGGGGGAGGGGGGGGGGAGGGGGGGGGCGGGGGGGGGGGGGGGGGGGGGGGGGGGGGCAAGGGGGGGGGAAGGGGGGGGGGGGGGGGGGGGAGGGGGTGTGGGGGTGGTGTGGGGAGTTGAGGGGGTTTGACAACCAAAGAAACTTAAGCCCAAAGCCCTATTCAACTCGATAGGCCCTAGCCTACACACCCTAAACCCTAAGCACTTCAAACCCTAAACCCTAAACCACAACCTCTTCTGGTTTGAAACCCTAAACCCTAAACCCTAAACCCAAACCCTAGACCCGAAACCCTAAACCCGAAACCCGAGACCCGAAACCCTCAACAAGCCGAGACCCTGACCAGGCCGGCGATATGGACTTCGCCCCTGGGACTTGAGAGGGCTTCCGGGGTCCTCAAAGCTGAAGCCCCCCCAAAATACCCCGGAAACATCCTGAAAACCTCCCCCCAATCCTGGGATTTTAGGGTATAGGGTTTAGGGTTGAGGGTTGAGGGGTTGAGGGTTGAGGGTTGAGGGTTTAGGGTTTAGACGAAGCCCCAAAACCTCCCCCTAAACCCGTGAAACTGCCCAAACCCCCCTTAGATCCCCCAAGCCCTGGCATCCTCAGGCACCCAAACCCTGCGAAGAAGCATGTGCCCTTAGTATGGTGCCCCACAAGGATCACATAAGGGTTATACAACAAGGTGACAAAACCCTAAGCCCTAAGCCCTAGCCCGAAACCCGAAACCCTAAACCCTAAACTCTACACCCTCAACCCTCAACCCTCAACCCTCAGCCCTCAACCCTCAACCCTCAACCCTCAACCCTCAACCCTCAACCCTCAACCCTCAACCCTCAACCCTCAACCCTCAACCCTCAACCCTCAACCCTCAACCCTCAACCCTCAACCCTCAGCCCTAACCCTAACCCCTGAGTAACCCCGGAAGCTGTCACCAGGCACCCGCCCGCGGATCCGAGAAGTCTGAGGCTCTCTTTGGGTTTGGGGGTTTAGGGTTTGGGGTTGGGTTTGGGGTTTAGGGTTTAGGGTTTGGGGTGCAGGGATCTGCTGGTTTAGGGATTGGGGTTTCGGGTTTGGGGTTGGGGTTTTCAGGGTTTAGGGTCTAGGGCTTGGGGGTTGAGATTGAGGGGTTCAGCTTGAGGGTTTTGGGGTTCGGGTCCAGGGTTTGCGGGGTTGGGGGGTTTAGGATTCGGGCTTGGGGATTGAAGGGCTTTAGGGTTGAGTCTTTGGGGGGTGAACAAGTTTTGGTGTCAGGGCGTAATGGTGTAAGTTTGAGCTCTGACCCGGAGCCCCAGGAAAACATTTTCAGGGACGATGTCCAATTCCGAAACCTGTAGACCTCAAGGTTGTAGACTGTAGACCTTAGAGTGTGTCAACATTCACAGCGTGCTCTTGACTTGCGCCCGCAAAGCCAGCGGAGGCGGCAGTACCGGATGCAGAGGTGGGAACCCCCCCAAACCGAGTATTCCGAGGAGGCTGCGAAGGCAAAGAAGGCAGAAGCGACGAAAGACGCAAAACAAAAGGCAAAGGAGTTGCTGCGGAGCACAGACCAAGCAAAGGGGTCCAACAAGCTGTCCCAGAAGCCTGCGGAGGAGATGAGGCCGGGCTTTCCCAGTTCTGGCCGGGCCGATAGGTTCGACTGACTGGTTCAGGCCGGCGATTCGGATGATGCATCTGCCGTCGACCAGAATCCCAACTCCGAACATGAACGCCCTAACCCTGGAGCCCCAAACCCGAAACCCTGCACCCCGAACCCAGCATCCTGAACCTTAAACCCTAAACCAAAAACCCTGGAGCCACAAACCCGAAAGCCCCAAATTGTATCAGACTGGGAGCAAGGAGCAATACGACTTCGACTTTTTGGGCTCCGACCGGTGCGGTCCTCTGAGGGGCTTGCAGAGCGCTGGGCTTTGGTCTGGGTGTCAGGGTTTAGGGACCCTAAACCATTCTAACCCTAAGCCCTTCAAACCCGAAACCCTAAACTTTCAACCCTAAACCCCAAACTCTAAACGAGTTTGGGGTTTGGAGGTTTGGTGTGTTGGGGCCCTGGGGGGGTCGCAGGTTGGGAGGCGGGGATGCCCTTCAATAGTAGCCGAACTCGGGTGCGACTTTCGCCGTGATTCCAAGCTCGCTCTTGGTTCGGCCTGGGTGGGAGGAGAACTAATTTCTACAGGTGCGTGACGGTGGTTATGCCAAGAGGCAGCCAGAGGTTTGTGTGCAAACATTGTCCTGCAACAGATGCTTGTTGACAGTTTTTGCAAGTGACAACATCTTTTAACCGAGAAAATTGAAGCATTTTGTTTCGAAAAAGCTGCTATCGATAATGTAACAAACAAAATAACAACACAGTTCTTTTTGGATGTACTCCAGACTATGATGCTGTGGCTTACCTGAAGCTGTTTTCGAAGCTGAGTCATGATCTGCTGTTGGTTAGCACTACACGTGTTCTTGCAGAATCTATACAGTCTCCCACAGTTGCGTGATCTGGTCAATCATGCCGGTGAAGGTGGATTCTGCGATGGTTTCAGGGGCCCCGGGGGAATTGGTAGACTTCTTTGGGGTTTAAAATGTTAGCATAGAAATCGTTTTGTTTATTCCGGTGAAATGTTTCAGACATTGCATCCAACTGACGTTTGCTTTCAAAATTCGCGGCACATCAACTTCACTCAGCCTGCATGTTTTCACGAAACCCTTGCCAAAGTAATATGAAACAGGGTTTATATATATATATATATATCTCTCTCTCTCTCTGCTATTGGCAAGGTTCCTGTTTAATCTTGGTGAGTGTGTATATTGGGTGTCCTTTTGGTGATACTTCACATCAAATAATGTCTTTCCGTAGCCGGCTTTGGCAGCCACCCTCAAGCCTAAACCCTGAACCCTAAACCCTAAACCCTAAGCCCTAAGCCCTAAATCCTAAACCCTAAACCCTAAACCCTAACCCTAAACTCTCAACCCTTCAGGCCCTTCCGTGTAGCTCTTGGCCGGGCCGCTCGCGCGGCCAAAGCCTGCGGTAGCCGGGGCGCCCAGCTTGGGGGAGTTCGGTTTAGGGTTTGGGGTTTGGGGTTTAGGGTTGGGTCTGGGTTTAGGGTTTAGGATTTAGGGTTTAGGGCGGGGGGACTTCATAGCTGAATGAGTACACTTTACGCCATTTTGAGATGCCATAATCCCCCTATAGAACTGAGCGTGTAGACGTTTTAGGGGGCTTATGAACTCAAAAAGCAAGTCAAAGATTGGAGTTTTCCCCGGTACACAGGATGTCCAAGAGGCATCTGAGAAACCCCAACCCTGAATCCCTAGACACTAAGCCACTAAGCCCTTTTTTGGCTTCAACTTCGGGATGTTCCCCCAATATACTAGCAGTCCTCAATAGGGGGGGGGGGGGGGGGGGCGGGGGGGCACTAAAATCCCGATTTGAGACTGTTATTATAAAGGGAACATCCCAACTTCAATATTTCAAGCTGCTGAAACCAGAAGCATAGATCTGAAGTAGGCGGGTTTGAAGAGTGGTCAGTGGTCAGAGGCAAAAGCATCGCCACGTAGCTTCTCCTTACGGCACTGCATCTTATCCCCCCCTCATGCTCAGCCCTAAACCCTAAACCCTAAAACCCTTGGGGACTCTAACGCTCCAGATCCGAAAGTTCAAGCCCGAAACTTTGACTCCCGAACCCATCACTGGCTGATCTTATCTAAACTCGACCTAGCCCCCCAAGTATGTAACAGAATGGTTTAGGGTTCAGGGTTCAGGGTTTAAGGTTTAGGGTTTAGGGCTTAGGGTTTAGGGTTTAGGATTTAGGGCATACTTTGGGGGTCCAAGTAGACTCGAAGCCCAATGCGGCTGAGGCAGGGATGCCGTACGGACGGCTATGGACCAGCTCCGTGGGAAGGACCACCAGGGGCCTGCCAGGATGTAGTACGGTTTAGGGCACTGGGTTTAGGCGTTAGGGTTTAGGGTTTAGGGTTTAGGGTTTAGGGTTTAGGGCTTTTGGGCTTAGGGGATGTATTGGGATGTTCCCGCTTATAGCTAGCAGTCTTTCATAGGGACTATACTGGGGCAGGTCTTCTTCTCTTCAGCCTTCACAAGTTCCGCTCGGCAGAACCCTAAACGCGAAACCCTGACCCCAAACCCTAAACCCTAGACCCTGTAAGAAGACAGGAGAGGATGGCACTCGCAGACAAGGATGGGCAGATTCGGCCCTCAGGCAGGCTACACTGATTGAAACTTCGGGCTCAGGGCTTATGGAGATTGATTGGCTGGGCTTAGGGTTAGGGTTCAGGGTTTAGGGAGAGTGCCCTATGGAGGCCTAGGGTTTCGGCTTCTTAAGGTCTGGGCTTCTGGGCTTCGTCCTAGCAGGTCTTACAGCGGGAGCTAAGGGTTTCGGAGTTTAGGGTTTAGGGTTTAGGGTTTAGGGTTTAGGGTTTAGGGTTTAGGGGCCTTCGCACGGCTTACAGCCACGGAAGCTGCGCATTTGGCCTTGAACATGAATCCCTACTTGGAGGTGCATGGTACTTAGTAAGCCAATTAGAACTGTATTTATAACCCAATTGCAATCCTGTTAGGGTACTTAAGGGGCTTCTAAGTGGGTTATAACTACACTTGTCATTGGGTTTAAGCAATCGAAGGGTCTATATGTGGTGAAGTCGAGGTGATCTAGGGATGTCGTGTCTGTTGGGTGGCTTAGGGTTTTGGATTTTGCTAGGTTCCTTCCCTCAGCCCTAAACGCTTGGACCATAAATCCCTAAAGCCCCAAACTCAGCTGAAGACCGAAGCTCTACAGTAAACCCTAAACCCCAAACCCCAAACTCCCAAAAGGTTCCATTATCCTCATCCTCCACCAGGTTCCTAAAGGGAATCCCAGCACAAGCCGCCCTTAAACCATGTTTCAACTTTATTGACTTTACTGTAGACATGCCGAATCCCTGGATGGGAGCACACGGTTCCTTATACCCTAAACCCAAAACCCTAAACCCTAAACCCTAAACCCTAAACCCTAAACCCTGCTCGGCCGCCTTTGGGACCAACCCCTTCCCACAACGCCCTCACATCCTCAGAGGATGCACCCTAAACCAGAACACTTTCGGGTTTAGGGTTTAGGGTTTAGGGTTTAGGGTTTAGGGTTTAGGGTTTAGGGTTTAGGGTCCCCAATTGAACCCAAAGCTCTTCAAACCTAAACCCCTCAACATTCCCCAGCCGCAAGACTCCTAAAACCCAAAACCCCACACCCCATGACCTTATAAAAACCCTATAAAGCCCTATAAGGCCCTACAAAACCCTATGACACCCTATAGACCCTGCAAAACCCTACAAAAACCCTATAAAAACCTATGAAACCCTATAAAAGAAAACCCTACAAACCAATATAAAACTCCATAACACCCTATAAAACCCTATAGCCCTAATAGCCAGGAAACAACCCAAAAGCCCTAAATCAACCGGCAGGCCCCACGTCCCCCTTCTCGGGACTGGGGTCGTGTGCTGACCCAGACTGCCGAGCTCACCGTCTTGCGTGGCCTCAGGCGAGGGTTTAGGATCTAGGGTCCAGGGTGAGTAACTTTTCAGGTTCAGGGTTTAGGTATGTTTAATGCCTCTTGGCGGTTTAAGGGTTTTGGGTTCAGAAAATATAAGCAAGAAAGTAGTGTGCGTGCCCCCTGATTATATTATTAGTACATAGAGAATTAAATGAATGCATTTGTAAACAAAATAAGTGCACGAAATGCATGAATTTAATGAACGCAGTACACGGGCCCTTATAATTCTCTTATTGGCCCGTTATCATAATATAATCATTAAGGCGTTTTTCCCGCGGCTCACTAGTTTATTAATTATGCCGCGGTTACAATCTTATTCTCTTCATACACGGGCCTATATTACAATTCACTGGCCCGTATACTAAGTCTATAATGGAAATATAAAGATGAAACACGCATGATTTCCATATTAAGTTTTAGGGTTTTTCTTCGTTCTTGCATTCACGCACTGATAGTAAAATCACGCGTATTCACTTGCATTATTACTATTAATGCGTTCATACATTCACTTCGTCTTATTAATAAAGTAGCGCGTGAACACAGTGAACGCAGCGGTCTGGATTCTTCATAGCGGCTGTCACGTTCTCCTCTTTGCCCCTATTATTGTATTACGGGCGTACCTTAAATAAGCTCGCGCATTTAAAGCCCGTATTATAATAATGGGGAAAAGACCCTAGACTGGGAGATGAAGACAGAAGACTCATGCATCTAGTTCCAGCTCCAGCGGTAAGACTCGTGAAAAGACGAGCGTTATCCAGACCATGCGTTGACAGGGTCTAGTTTCGTTCGGTCATTCATTGCGTTCGCTTGTTCATGAATTCACTTCGCTCTCTGATTCATTCACTCTCTTCACCTTTAGTACTATGATTCGCTGGTTAGGTTCTTAGTCGCTTGGAAACAGAGGTTGGGTCTCAAGGTGTGATGGGTGAACAAGGCTGTGGAACAAGAGTGAGAGAGATGAAGGGTACGTCCTAAAGGTGAATCCGGAAGACAAGACAGTGAGGAAGAAGAACGAGAGAACGAAGTGAGCCTGCGAACGTGTGATGGGTGCTGCGGTTGGACTGGTCTCTAAGCCGGCTAGTAACTCAAGACATTAAGGCTCAGCCCCAGATCAACCATTAACAGGAGCTAGAGATAGAGGGTTGGGACGTAGAGAATGAGGAAGCGTCTTGAAGGTTTACTATTGGATAACTAGCCCGGAGAAGCTAATGCATTTCCAAGATGATTCATTCGTCCTAAAGTTGTAGGTGGTGAACGTAAGGATAATACTAATACTAGGCACAGTTAATTCGCACGATAATTCATGCATGCGTGCGTTATCTTCGTGCCCGCGTCAAAAAGACAAAAATAGTATTAGTGAGTGCATTAATGAACAGAAGGGTTCGGGCTCCGGGGGTGGGGGGGTTGAGGGCTGAAGGCCAGTTTAAGTCGCCCTGCTTAGGATTTTGGGGTTTCAGGGTTGAGGGTTTAGGGCTCTTGGCAGCTGCTCATGGTTCTATTGCAGGTGAGGTGACCCTAAACCCTAAACCCTAAACCCTAAACCCCAAACCCTAAACCCTAAACCCCGAAGCCCGTCTGCTGGGGCAGGTCCGGACTCGGTTTCGCGACTTCATCTTGTCGCGGATCCGGGCCGCGGTTCGGCGGGAGGAGGCTCTGTTCAGGGTTTAGAGTGTAGAGGGTGTAGGATTTAATGGTTTCAGGGTTTAGGGTTTAGGATATCACCATCTCCTTGTTTGTTTATTTCTGTGTTTTTTCTTATCTTGCTCTTTATTTATCTTTGTTTGGGTGGGGTTAAGATTTGCACCACAATCTCTCCTAACACTGTCGGGCTGGTATAGGGTTCTTCAGGGAGGGGGGTTCATGGGGGGATAGGTGCCCAGGGAGCCTTGGGAATCTTAGGGAGCCTTAGGGAGTAGTGGGGAGTATTAGGGAACCCTGGACATCGACAGTAGAACCCTAGATTTTTCGTGCTGCTGTTGTTTTTGTTTTTCCTTGTTGCGATCAAGGGTGTGTAGGGTTGGGGCTGCGGTTACAGGCATGGGGCTTAAAGGTTTTAGGGTTTTCGGGTTCAGTGATTGATGACTTGAAGGGTTTAAAGTGCAGGGTGAAGTGTGTAGAGCTTGGGGCTTAGGACTTCCCAAATCCCGAAACACGTGCACATCGAGCAAACCAGAGGAGAGAGACAGAGAAGAAACAACAAAGAAAGACATACAGAAATAAAGAAAGAGAGAAAGGAAGAGAGCGAGAGAGAGAAAGGGAGACAGAGAGAAAGAGAGGGAGACGCCTAGAACCCGAAACTCTAATCCCTAAACCAAAAACCCTGGGTCGTTAATACCTGAAGCCTTCAACCCGACACCCCAAGTACCTCCGCCTTAAACCCTAAATCGTGAAGCCCAAACCCTAAACCCTAAACCCTAAACCCTAAACCCTTCTCAGGGAGCAGAACCCTGGTGGAATCCCGACCTCGGCCTCAGGCCAGGGTCCAGCAGAGTTTAGGGTTTAGGGGCTAGGGGTTTAGGGGTTTAGGGGTTTAGGGGTTTAGGGGTTTAGGGGTTTAGGGGTTTAGGGGTTTAGGGGTTTAGGGGTTCAGGGGTTCAGGGGTTTAGGGGTTTAGGGGTTCAGGGGTTTAGGGGTTTAGGGGTTTAGGGCTTTAGGGCTTTAGGGGCTTAGGGTTTACCGCGACATTAAGTTGCCAAGATTCTGACGTCTGGGGCTTGGAAGGTAAGGGCAACTTCGTTTGCCGGGCGCCGGCAGCGGGATCTTCGAGTGATAGGAACTGTATGGTGAAGCAGCTCTCTGAATCTTAAATCCCCAGGCGCAAGCTTAGGGATGAGGGTTTAGGGTTTAGGGTTTAGGGCTCAGGGTTTAGGGTTTAGGGTTGAGGGTTGAGGGGTTAGGGTTTAGGGTTTAGGGTCTAGGGTTAGGGGTTTAGTTTCGGCTTCTGAGGTGTTTTATGGCTCATGGCTTTTGGGGGAAGCGGTTGTTTGAGAGTTTGGGGCCTTCAGGAGAGACCCGGACTCAAGCCGAAGCTAGGCAACGTACAACCCAAACTCCACATCCTCAAAACAGCCCTCAATTCCCTAAACTTACTGGCTCAAAACCCAACTTTTCAACTTTTGGGCTTCTTATAAGGCAGTTTATTCTGAAAGTTTAAACTTTTATTTCCTTGGGTTTTGGGCCAGTAAGGAACCTTAAACCCTAGACCCTAAACCGTAAACCTGAGCCACAAGTCTGATCACAGGGGACTTGCTAAACCCCGAAGGGCCCCTTGTCAAGGGATTAAGACCGGTTTAGGGTTTAGGGTTTAGGGTTTAGGGTTTAGGGTTTACTCCTAATATGGCCCTTATACTAAACCCTAAACCTTAAACCCTAAACCCCAAACCTGAACCACAAGTCTGATACTGAAGGTACACCTCAGTGGGTAGTGGCCAACTGCTATTCGATCTGGAGCTACTGGAGAGGACCAGCTGGCAGAGTGGTTGGGGGGGGGGGGGGGGGGGGGTTGGTGCTCGTGACTCCTTGACACATCGTGTGTTTAGGGCTTAGGGTTTAGGATTTAGGATTTAGGGTTTAGGGCCATTGCCTGGAACCACTTCTCCTCGACATTGGGCGCAACTGCAGGCAACTAGATCTCGGAGCTTCCTTTTCAAGAGCTTAGGATGGCCCTGATACAGGGGTCGGAATTATTGCCAAGCGTATTCCCCTATGGTCCCATTCTGCAATACCCCCCCCCCCCCCCCCCAAACCCTATTCTAATTATTCAGCTCCCTATACTACGTCAATCCTCCTAAACCCTAAGCCCAGGTTCCTACAATCTCGTTGTTGGAGCCTACTCCGTTCCATGAGGCTTTTTGTGTCCCCCACACGGCCCTTGCACATGGTCGCATGACGCTACATTGACGCAAGGGTTTGGTGTTCATCTCTCTGTAGTAGATTTCTTGATGTATAACCCTAAACCCCAAAACCCAAAAACAAACCCAAAAAACAAAAAAAAAACACAAAAAAAACTCCACAAGCCCCAAAGCCCCAAAAGCCCAAATACCCAAAAACCCAAAGCCCCAAACCCCAAAACCCCAACACCTCAAGACCCACAGCAGCGCTCTAGACGCTTGAAGAAACCCCCGAAACCCTAAACCCTAAACGCTAAACCCTAAACCCTAAACCCCTAACCCTAAACCCTAAACCCTAAACCCTAAACCCTAAACCCTAAACCCTAAACCCTAAACCCTAAACCCTAAACCCTAAACCCTAAACCCTAAACCATAAAACCTAAACCCTAAACCCTAAACCCTAAACCCTAAACCCTAAACCCTAAACCCTAAACCCTAAACCCTAAACCCTAAACCCTAAACCCTAAACCCAGCCACAGCCGCAGGATCCGATTCCTCGGGGTGCGTATCGCGCAGATCTGCCTCATAGACACAGCCACTCGGCTCAGGATCCTTCCCACTCCCCCAACCCGGGTTTAGTGTGTTCGTTCCGGACAATTTAGGGTTTAGGGTTTAGGGTGTTGGGTTTAGGGTTTAACTAGGGTTTAGGGTTTAGGGTTTAGGGTTTAGGGTTGCACCGATGAGGGGCAAGGTTTCTGCGCGTCGAAACCCAACTGCAAGCCTCCAGCCCCCGTGAGCTAGGAGTTAGGGCTTCGAAGCCCTACACCCTAAACCCTAAACCCAAATCCCTGAGCCCCCCCGCAAAGGATGTCTATTTTTTTGGGATTTTTTTTGTTTTTGTTTTGGGTTTTTTGTTTTTTGTCCTTGCTATTGGTAAACCCTAAACCCTAAACCCTGAACCCTGAACCCTGAACCCTAAACCCTAAGCCCCAAATCCTAAACCCTAACCCTAAACCCTGAACCCTAAACCCTGAACCCTCAACCCTAAACCCTAAACCCTAAACCCTAAACCCTAAACCCTAAACCCTAAACCCTAAACCCTAAACCCTAAACCCTAAAGCAAAAAACAAAAACAATCAAAAAAAAATCAAAAAAATCCTAATTCAATTCTCCGGCCAAAGCAAAATGAAAGGAAAGTGAGCCCCTGGCAGCCAAGGCATATGCTGGCTCACCACCCAGCGCCGGGACCCCAGAAGCACGAACATCTGGAGGGATTGGGAACCCCAAGCCCTAAGCCCTAAACCCTAAACCCTAAACCCTAAACCCTAAACCCTAATGGGAATTTGAGGGCTGAGGGTGAACCCGAAAGTCCCTCTCCTCTTGGGTCGATAGAGTTGAGGTTCATGGTTTCAGGGTTTAGGGTTTCATCAGGGTTTAGGGTTTAGGGTTGAGGGTTTGAGGATTTAGGGTTTAGGGTTTTAGGGTTTTAGTGTTTTAAGTTTTTAGGGTTTTAGGGTTTTAGGGTTTGGGGTTTAGGGTTTGGGGTTTAGGGTTTGGGGTTTAGGAACTCAGGGTTTAGGGTTCACGGTCTCTCTAGGCTCTGACATCAAGACCTGGCGCTTGGTGGGGGGACGTCCGTGCTGGTTTTTTGTGGGGGCCATCGGGATATGTTTACATTCTCGGAACGAATCAGTACGTATTCCCTATCCCGCCGCCTGCTGGAAAAGACTCCGTAATCCTAAGCTCTATGCTCGAAAGCCTGAACCCAACAGCTTGTTCCATAACCTTACAGGGTCCTTAAGGGAGGGAGGGCTCAAACGGGGGTATGTAACACCCACTATTTGCCAAGGCTCCCTAAGCTTCCCTAAGCTTCCCTCGCTACACATACTACCCCCCATGAACCCTAAACCCTAAACCCTAGACCCTATAATCACCCTCACTGAGGTGGACGTTCGTCGTGCTTTGCGCCTCTCGGCAGAAACAAACCTTGATCAAACCCTAAACCCCAAACCCTAAACCCTAAACCCCAAACCAAAAGCCTGAACCCTCGATCTTCAGGTAGTTCTCGGAGGGGCTTTCGAGTCTCAGGATCTTCCTCAACTCCTCAACCCTTCAGCGCCCACAAAACCCTAGGGTGTAGGGTTTAGGGTTTGGGGTTTAGGGTTTAGGGCTTAGGGTTTAGGATTACTCCTTGCCAATCTGCAAACCCGGAACCCCCCCCAAAAAAAAACAAAAAACAAACGGAGAAACAACCCTCAACCCGACACCCCTGCGCCTGCATCACCAAGGCGAGTTCACAGATTGGCAGCGAGCCGCTTCACAGCTATGCCGCCGCTTGGCTTGCCCTCACGAGACTTTTAGGGGTTCGGGTGCAGGCGCGCTGCCCGCGTGTCTGTGCGCCAGCTGGAAGCTGACCGTGCGGCATTCAGATGGCTGGACCCGTGAAGGCATCCAAAGAAAAGCCGATGGCAGCTTGCCGCTCGACGCTTTGTGCGGGTGCAGTCAAGAAAGCTTTCAAGGGGAAAGGCAAGGGTGGCAAAGCTTCTCTAAGCCACCCCGCAACTTCCCTGAGGCCTTGAAAGGGTGCGACTCCAGTACCCGCACTTTATCAGCCGATCTGCTGGGCCTACAACCTCCCCTCCGGGTGCACGAAGGCTAGCCGGGCCAGAAGTGCCCCAAGGGCCTCCATGTCTGTTGCAAGCCTGGCTGTGGCATGACTTACACCCTAAACCCTAAACCCTAAACCCTAAACCCTAAACCCTAAACCCTAAACCCTAAACCCTGGGGGGCATCTTGACTACGGACCCCTGCCGATGCCACTCCCATGTTGCATGCTCCGGTGGACGGCCCTGCGTCCACTTCAATCCCTACCTGAAGTTTCCCGAGGCCATGCTTTTTCTGTAGGTTGAAATGCAAAGGCCATCCCCTTTGTGGTAGCCTACAAAGAAGTAGGCTTTCGATGCGCTTAAGAGCCCAAAACCTGCCTATTGTGGAAGGTTGTTCTGAAAATTATCCTTGTGGGATTCTGAGAGCCCACGAGACATCCATAACTTTGCTGGTTTTGGGTTTGGAGGCATTGCAACTCAGGGTTTAGGATTTAGAGATTCGGGTTTAGGGTGAGCCTAGCACTTAACGGCCCAGAGCCCGGAAGGTTCTTTAGGAGTTGAAGTGGAGGCTCCGAGGTTGGGTGTTTTGGATTTCCTGAATAGGGTTTAGGGTTTAGGGTTTAGGGTTTAGGGTTTAGGGTTTAGGGTTTAGGGTTTAGGGTTTAGGGTTTAGGGTTTAGGGTTTGGGGTTTAGGGTTTAGGGTTTAGGGTTTAGGGTTTAGGGTTTAGGGTTAGGGTTCTATGCGCCTGTGTTTTTTTGGCTCAGGGGTTTGGGTTCTAAGAAGACTGCGGGCTTGAACGCCTTGGGGCCCCAACGCCCAAAACCACGCACCCAAGAGACTCCCACAGGCCTTCTCCCGCTGAAACGGTTGAACCTCTAACTAAACGCGCATCTAAACGCTTACTGGCTCAAAACCCAACTTTTCAACTTTTGGGCTTCTTATAAGGCAGTTTATCCTGAAAGTTTAAACTTTTATTTCCTTGGGTTTTGGGCCAGTAAGAACGTGGGATGTTCTCCCTTATACTATGGCAGTGCTCAGTAGGGATCATAATCCGGGGGAACTGGAATCCTATAATCCCTACTAAAGACTGTTGGTAAAACTGAGGGGAGCATCCCAAAGCTAAACCCTAACCCCATCGTGTCTTAATCTCGGAGGCAGAGTACACCCTCGCTTTATTTTTGGGGGTCTCGGCTCCTCGCAACCCTTAATCACCACACGTTGCGGGTAAGTACGAAGGTCATGAGCCAGCCGAAGTCCTCGTCTTCAGCGAAGTTTGGGACTACTACGAGACCTGCTGCCGCTTGTCTGGGCTTAAGATGGGCCTAGGGTCTGAAGTGTAGGGTTCAGGGAGTCGAGTCAGGGAGACGGTGTTATCGCAGTGCGTCCGAAATACGAAGCACAAAGCCGTAGACAATGGAATCTGCTTGGTCGCCATTGCAGCAAGATCCTCGAGATGTTGACTAGGACGCAGAGTAGGCCAGTCGGCCCTGATTCCGTTTCGTTTTAGGCTTCTTTTTGGGGGTTTCGGCTCCCTCATATCCCCTTTCAACCCAAAAAAGGGAAACCCTAAACCCTAAACCCTAAACCCTAAACCCTAAACCCTAAACCCTAAACCCTAAACCCTAAACCCTAAACCCTAAACCCTAAACCCTAAACCGTTTATTCCTGGGTCACTCCTGACTTTTAGTTGAGCTCAATCTCGAGTATGTCAAGGTCTGCGCCATGGCAGCAACATAGCTGGGCTTTGGAGTACCATACTTTAATACTTTTTTTGGTTTTGGGTTCCCATTATAGCTACTTCTACCTGAAATGTATATACTTTTGTTTTCTGGGTCTACTCCAGAGGTAGGATACTGCACATAAGCTCGTATGTTTGCGCTGGAGTTGGGAGAAGAAGAGCCAAAGCCTAAACACCAAACCCTACATGTCCTGGATTTGTGTGCACAAAGTGGAGGCGGCTGAGTTGAGTTTCGGGTTTAGCGGTTCAGGGCCCGAGGGTCCAGTTTAGGGTTTAGGGTTTAGGGTTTAGGGTTTAGGGTTTAGGGTTTAGGGTTTAGGGTTTAGGGTTTAGGGTTTAGGGTTTAGGGTTTAGGGTTTAGGGGGCCCGAGTTGCGGGCACCTCAAGCGAAGGTGAATCGCAGGAGGCATCGAGCAAGTATCCCGACCTGGAGCGATACAGGCGCATCCCGACGAGCCAAGCTTTCAAGGGGTTAAGGCTCCTACCCCTGAGGTCGTATCCCTAAAGGTTTCCCTGAATATACTCCAAATATGGCCGTTATACCAGCTTAAGGATCTTAAAAAAAGGTTCCCCGAAACCAAGGATAGAACCTTAGGGTACCAAGGCACAACCCCTAAGAAGTCTCCTGGTGCGCACAGCTTGCGGATTTGGAGCATTGTTGTCAGACGACTTCAACAAGCTGAGGGTATGTTCGTAAACTTTGCATTCTAGGTCGGCCTGAATAGGATCGTGTCCAGGAATATGTTTCAGAGAGTTTAGGGGGCCATCCTAGTCATATTTTAATCGGGCCCTAGACCGACCCAGCATTCGTTCGCAGGTCCAGCGCACAACGACTAGGTAGGCCCTTGGGACATTTTATATTTTCCCTTATTTGGGTTTAAGAGCATCATATTCAGGAATATTTTTCAGAGGGTTTTAGGGGCCATCCTAGACAAGTTACCGAGCACGACGTTTTCTTAATGCCGTGCCTGCTCTGGACGGTCAAGACGTTTCGCGACAACACGCTTGCAAGCTGCACATGCGTCAGTTGCCTGTAGACCCCATGCAAGTCCAAGTTGATCTCGCCAGCCCGAAGCCCTGAACCCCAAAACGCCAACCCTAAACCCCAAACTCTAAACCCTAAACCCCTAAACCCCTAAGCCCTAAATAGCCTAAACCCCTGAACCCTAAACCAGTCGTGTTTGGAGCTCCGGCACAGTCATCCTTACCTCGGAGCAACCACACATCTCGATTTGCAGCCATGTTCGTAGGGAATGAGGGAATTCGGACCCTAGATGCTCCCTGAAAGGTACATATGGGGCCCTGATTCCCTCATTCCCTCCTAAGAACCATGAGGTCGTTAATTTCACGTCGTCACCTGCCCTCAGACTTCGGCAGTCGATTCAAGGTTTCGAAACTTTCGGGCGTACCCAAGGCTGGAAGCATGAAGCCGATAGGGTTTAGGGTTTAGGTTTAGGGTGTGGGGTTTAGGGTTTAGGGTTTAAAGTTAGGGTTTAGGGTTTAGGGTTTAGGGTTTAGGGTTTAGGGTTTACGGTTTACGGTTTACGGTTTACGGTTTACGGTTTACGGTTTACGGTTTACGGTTTACGGTTTAGGGTTTAGGGTTTAGGGTTTAGGGTTTAGGGTTTAGTTTAGCTGTCAACCGCATGAAAGGAGTTGTTGTCAAAGGAAGCTTCCGGAGCCTATAAAAGCGTGCCCCTGTCACATAAGATCGGGTCCCTTGGGTAAGGAGAGTATGTAAGTTTAGGTGTTTTTCAAGGAGAGGCTATGTAAGATCAGGTCGTGTGGGTAAGGAGAGTACGTAACCTTTGGTGTTTTTCAGGGAGAGGCTAAGAGCAGGCTGCCTGACTTCTAAGTTCTGGTGTTTTTTGGCAGATGCTGCATGGGTCTCCTGCACAGGTTTGTGCGGGCTTCAACACGGGCCTCCTACGGGGACCCTTGGCAACTTGCGGGCTGCTTACGTGCCACTTACGTGCCACTTACCACTTACGCGCCACTTACGGCCACTTACGTGCCGCTTACATGCCACTTACATGCCGCTTACGTGCCGCTCAGGCCCCTTGCGAACTTACGGGCCCCTCATGGGCCTTCGCGCCACTTACAAGCCTACATAGAGCCATTCGCGAGCCACTTACGGGCCTCTGGCTGCTTCGAGCCTTCTGCGGGCCTGGTCTTGGAGTTCGAGCGACGAGAGCTTGCGTGACGAATGCTGCGCCCGTTCGACTGACAAAAAAAACGGGGCCTGACTAACCCTGGATCGGGTTGAATTCTCACGAGAGCTTACTCAAAGACAGGGTCGACGCAAAAACATGCTTACACAGGATAGCCAAGCCTCAGCCCTTTTTGACCTCTCATTTGCTCTTCCCCGAGACATCCCCTCACATGTGCCTCACATGCCACTCACCAGCCACTCACCGACCCAACCGCAACCGCTTATATGATAGGGGCACGCTTTTTATAGGCTCCATATTCTTCCTTTGATGTTGCTCAAACCCTAAACCCTAAACCCTGGACCCTAACCCGCTCCTCTCTCCCCGGGTGGATTTGAGAGTCCGAGATTTGGAGAAAACAAATCTCTGAATAGTCAGCCCCTCTCTCCTCCCCCCCCTCCTCCCTCCCGCCCACTCCTCGCCCCCTCCCCCTCTCCTCCCCCCTCTCCTCCCTCGCCCCCCCCTCCACCCTACACCAAAAATGAACCCAGAACCGAAGCCCTAAACCCCTAAGCCCTAACCCGTCGGAGTCTTGACGGCCATCTTCACCCCCTTCGGTACGCCCCATGTTCAACTTGTTTAACTTCACCTCATCGCCTTCCGTCAGACTTTCGCAAGCCGATCTAGGGTTTCCCTTTTAGGGCTTAGGGTTTAGGGTTGGTGCGCCTTGAACCTGTCTTTGGTTTTAGCTTCCCGTGTTACCTCATACTGGCCCACGGCGCCTAAACCCTAAACCCTAGACCCTAAACCCTAAACCCTAAACCCTAAACCCTAAACCCTAAACCCTAAACCCTAAACCCTACATGTGGCATCTTGATCTTCACAACGCATTGATGGGAGGCAGCCGTGTGATCTCTTCGTGCACTGCCTGGCCCTGAGCCGTAGGGCCTTCGTGGGCTTTCGGCTCCAGGGGATCAGGGTGTAGGGTTTAGGGTTTAGGGTTTAGGGTTTTGGGTTTTGGGGTTCGAGAGTTGAAAGAAGCCTGAGAAGCGTGTAGTTCAGGTCTTGGCGTTTGCAGGGTTTAGGTGTCGGGGTCCCCTGCGCCTTCTTGGAGGGACCTCCAGAAGGCACCCCAAAACCTATTTCTCTCTAGAACCATTATGGATACCTTACGTCATGCCTATTTTTCCTGCCATACAACCGCCTAAAGTCGACACAGAGCGAGCCATGACGCCCCGAGGTGATGCCACTTGGCCGGGTGCAGACGAGGCAGGGCCCAGCCCTAAACCCCAAACCCTAAACCCTATAAACCCGAAACCCTAAGCCCTAAACCCTAAACCCCAAACCCGAAACCCTAAACCCCCTAAACCCCCTAAACCCCCTAAACCCCCTAAACCCCCTAAACCCCCTAAACCCTAGCCCGCACCATTCCCCCACGTATCCATGCAAAAGGCCGAAGATTGGCTTTGGAAGGGTGTGTTACATGTTATGATGACCCAAACCTTCAACCCCCAAGCCTCATATCCCGAACTCTTGAACCCCTGAGACTTCCTGGCCCAGCACTCCTGGAAGGGCTTGGGGTTTAGGGTTTACGGTTTGCGGTTTCGGGTTTAGGGTTTGGGGTTTAGGGCTCTGGGTCTGTGCGGAGATGAAGGGGAGCCTGCGATATATTTTCCGGGGCTGTTTTAGGAGATATTTATATGCTACGTGTTCTGGTTTCAAGGTCTTGGGCTCTGAGATTTGAGGGCTTGGGCGTAGGTGCAGGCCTCGAGGGATAAGGAGTCGCATTCCCTTGCCGTCCTTGTTTCAGCACCCTCCAGTCCTGGGAGTCATGCAAAAAAAATCATGCACACGCGCCCGCTCAGGGTTGTGTTGCCCTTCGGACACGAAACGCTGCAGCAATTGGCGCAAAACACCCACTAAGCCAGAAGAAGGCCGAATCCCTAAGCCCGTAGAAGGCCCAAGACCACCATCTTCAACCCCGATCCAGAGAAAACTGCTCTAGATGGCCAGGCCACACCCACAGACCTGCAACTCGCCATGAAGACATCCGATGGGGACAGCCCGAGGAAGCTCCTGAGGCTGAATATCTTCAGACGAGACTTGCCACACGTGAGCCAAAGTGCCTTGTCGGCTTGGCCGTGAGGAAAGCCACCCGGCAAATCCTCTCCGGCTTGAATGCATGTGGAGACTTGCTGATGAAAACCCTAAACCCTAAACCCTAAACCCTAAACCATTTGATGGCCAGCCTGCCTCTGTGTGCATAACCAACTCCATGTCTCTGCAGGCTGGGCTTGGGGACTGTGGTTGGACCTCTGACTCGTGCGGTTTAGGGCTTAGTGTTTAGGGTGCCCAACCCTAAGTTGCTATTGGCCCTAAAAGCCGAAAGCCTTAAACCTCAAACCCCAAACCGCAACCCCCAAACCTCAGACCCTAAACTTCCAACCCTAAACCCGAAACCCAGCTGTCAGGAGATCGAGCAGTTGGCCCAAACCTCCCTATCGCGAGGCAGCGCGTAGGGCTTTTGAAGGCTTGCGGGTTTTGAGTCCGGTCACGTTTCGGGTTTCGGGTCTAGGGTTTTGGAACCTAAACGCTTGTGGTGTTTCGGGTATGCTGAAACTCACCAGGTTTCTCAAACCCTAAGCCCTAAGCCCTAAGCCCTAAGCCCTAAACCCTAAACCCTAAACCCTGCACAATAATCTGACTTTAGAGCTCTAGGGGTGGAACCATGGGCCCTTTGTGTGGTCCCTTACCCTTGTTCATAGGGATCCGAAGTATGGGCCCTTATTACTTAGGGTTTAGGGTTTAGGGGTTTAGGGGTTTGGGGTTTTGGGTTTAGGGGTAGCAACCGCAAAACTAATGGCCCCAAAATTGGAAACCTTAGAAGGGTTCAGGGTTTAGGCCTCAGCCAGGGGCCTTGAAATCGTATTTCCGGGAAGGTTTCGGGGGTTGTGGGGGGTTTAGGGCTTAGGGCTTAGGGCTTAGGGTTTACGGTTTAAGGTTCAGGGTTCAGGGTTCAGGGTTTAGGGTTCAAACTCGTCGCAGGGGCGGTGGTCCCAAGCCCCCAATACACGCCAGACCATCCCGAACCCCCGACTCCCAGAAAAGCTGGAAGCCCTGAGCCCTAAACCCTACACCCCAAGCCCCAAGCCCCAAACTGGAGCGAGCCGCGGGCGCTGCGATAAGCAGCGGCGAGCGATACCGCGTGGCGACAGGCCCGCGGACGAGCCCGAGCCTTAGCCTGGCGAGGGCTCGGGGCCGTTGCGCGCGGTGAGCGCGGCCCACGCCTAGAAGGGTTTAACCCGCGTGCCAGCGTCAGTCTGGCTCCAAGGAGAATTACCCTAAACCTTAGGTTTTTGGTGACCCCGCACTGGTGCGTCCTCCCTTAAGGGTCCTGCGCCTTTCTGGGCTCCTCCCGGACCATTTCTGAGCCTTGGCTCTTTCCGGACCATTTCTGAGCCTTTTGGGCTTCCCGGACCGTTTCTGAGCCTTTTTGGGCTCCTCCCGGACCATTTCTGGGCCTTTTTTGGGCTAGGCCCGGACCGTTTCTGCGACTTTTTGAGCTCTGTTTTGGGCCAAGTTTTCCCAAAAACCAAAGGGAGCCAAGGCATAAACCTGTGGGTCTTGTAAGCCCCGTATAAGCCTCATAATTTGGGAAACACCGGGCAAAAAAACCCTAAACCCGCCAAAATCTTGTAAGCAAGGTCCCAAGAGGTCCCAGAAATAGGGGGCCACCAGGAAATCCTTTCAGGAAGCCTCCTTCGGCCAGGCCTCCCAAACCCTCCCTAATCGTCTCCCAGGACCAAAAATCAAAGGGCGCCCGACACATAAACCAATGGATCTTGTAAGCAGGGTTTCAGGAGGTCCCAGGACAGTCCTTCCAAAAGGTCTCCTAAAAAGCTGTTCGGCCAATCCCAGACCCTCCCCAATCGTAGAGAGGGCGCAGGACCAAAAACCAAAGGGAGCCCAAGGCATAAACCTACGGGTCTTGTAAGCCCGGTATAAGCATCATAATTTGGAAACACCGGGCAAAAAAAACCCTAAACCCGCCAAAAAAACCTATGGATCTTGGGGGGACAGAGAGGCCTTCGCGGGGGGTACCCCAGGATTTGGTCAAGGCGGCCCGTAGCGCCCCCTCCCACTACTGTACTTACACACGATATTATAAAACCCTAAACCCGCCCAAGTTTGAGATGTGGGTGGGTGGGTTGGGAGAGTGCGTTGAACCTGGGCGCACACCACAACACACGTCCCGCGTGGTGGTGTGCGCGGAACCTTAGCAAACCCTAAACCCTAAGCCCTAAACCCCAAACCCTAAACCCTAAACCCTAAACCCTAAACCCTAAACCCTAAACCCTAAACCCTAAACCCTAAACCCTAACCTAAACCCTAAACCCTAAACCCTAAACCCTAAACCCTAAACCCTAAACCCTAAACCCTAAACCCTAAACCCTAAACCCTAAACCCTAAACCCTAAACCCTAAACCCTAAACCCTAAACCCTAAACCCTAAACCCTAAACCCTCACCAGCAAGGTGGCCTCCTGGTGCGGCTTTCTCCCTCCTCCGAGGAGCCTCAGATCAGTGTGGCCGGAGACGTGGAGCCTGGGCACAGGGTTTAGGGTTTGGGGTTTCGGGTTTAGGGTTTGGGGTTTAGGGTTAGGGTTTAGGGTTTAGGGTTTAGGGTTTAGGGTTTAGGGTTTAGGGTTTAGGGTTTAGGGTTTAGGGTTTAGGGTTTAGGGTTTAGGGTTTCGGGCAGTGAGACACTTTAACCCTTGAGTATTTCCTGAGATGCACCGTCGACCTAGGAGTCAAGGGTTTTTTGGGGGCTTCAGGGTTTAAATCTCTTCTGAGGGACTTCGGAGGTTTAGGGTTTAGGGTTTAGGGTTTAGGGTTTAGGGTTTAGGGTTTAGGGTTTAGGGTTTAGGGTTTAGGGTTTAGGGTTTAGGGTTTAGGGTTTAGGGTTTAGGGTTTAGGGACGGAAGGGGTTCGCAAGTTCTGAGCGAGGCGTGCCTATCCGAAGCCTAAACTCCAAGCTCCCAATCCTAAAACCTTTTATGGTCCCTGAACCCCCCAGACCCAGAGATAAACCCAAAATCCTAAATCATAAAGTCCAAAGAAATCCATTATATCCTGGATGCAGACCCAAAAGTGCGAACCTCTAACCTTAATGTATACTCCCTTATCCCGAACCACTAAACCCCAATCCCAAATCCGTAGACAACATGCCCCCAACTGTGAGTCAACCCTAAACACGAACCACTAGACCCCAATCCCAAATCTGGGTTTAGGGTTCAGGGTTTAGGGTTTAGGGTTTAGGGTTTAGGGTTCAGGGTTTAGGGTTTAGGGTTTAGGTTTAGGGTCTAGGTTTAGGGTTCAGGGTTCAGGCTTCAGGGTTTAGGGTTTAGGGTTTAGGGTAACGACAAGCCCACAGCTGTGAGTCAACTAAGGAAACAAACACGAACCGGAGCGGGCACAGTGCCTTGGCACCACCTTGCGCCTAGATATCCAGCAAGAGCTTGGGGCTTGTTAGGGTTTAGGGTTTAGGGTGTAGGGTGTAGAGTTGAGGGTTCAGAGCCTAGAGTGTTTTGGGAGGGTTTGTAGGGTTAAGGGTTCGCAGGGTCTTGGGTTTGGGTGCTTTGGGGTTATAGGGGCTTGTAAGCATGTGGGATGCTTGCTGTCAGGGATTGCCTTGGTTTAGGCCAGGGGTTTGCAAAATTCCAGCCCAAAACCCTTTCACGAACCTTTTGAAACCGAAGCCGGTGAATTCCTGGCCAATCTCCATTCGTACTGGGTGCTGTCTGCACTGGAACGCTAGGGTTTAGGGTTTAGGGTTTAGGGTTTAGGGTTTAGGGTTTAGGGTTTAGGGTTTAGGGTTTAGGGTTTAGGGTTTAGGGTGTAGGGCTTACCCAAAGAAAGGGCGTCGGAGGGTCAGAATTGAACATTTTTCGGGGCTTAGAGGCTGAGGCTTCTGGCCTTTTTCCGTGGTCCATGCAGGCCTCGGGGCTGAGACCACCCGAACCAAACCTGTCACCTCCGAACCCGACACCCCTACACCCTGAAACCTACATTCTACACTCCCTGAGGCAAAATGACGCCCCGGTCCCTGTTTAGGTGTCCCGTTCTAGACCCAAGACCCAAGACCCTAAACCCTAAAGAGGCTAAGGTCTCTATGGTCTCTAAGGGTTTGGGCTCTGTGAGGTTTGGCGCCCTTGCTGTGTCGCGCCTGGGTCCAGCCGCGCGGTGCAATTTGCAGCTTGGGGGGGTGGGCTGAGGTCTGCGCACCTAGGGGCTTTAGGGGTTTTTGGGTCTTTAAAGGATTTAGGGGCTTTAGGGGCTTTAAGGGGCTTAGGTGTTTTTTGTTTTTTTTTTTTTTTTTTTTTTGGGGGGGGGGGGGGGGGGGGTTCAGAGGTCCCAGCCTTTAAGAGCCTTTAAGGATGTGACCCCCGAGAGTCCTCACCCCGCCCCTCCACTTATCCCATAAAAAGCATCTAGGAGTGCCCCCAAACACCCTAAACCCTCAACCCTAAACCGCCTACAGCCCTTTTAGGGCTTTAGGGTTTAAGGGGATTTTTTGGGTTTTTAGGGTTTTCAGGTTTTTTTTTGGGTTTTTTGCTGGGTTTTTGTCAGAGTTGCTAGGGCTTTTAGGGTTTTTTTTTGGCTTTTTAAGGCGTTCAGGGTTTTTATGCTTTTATAAAACTCTTTTTTAGAGTGCTTAGGGTTTTTCGAACCCCTTTGATCCTTCGATGTCGACCTCAGGATGGATGCCAGCGCCTCCCGGGAGATGCCTGGGCACCCTGGCTGTTGGCAAGTGCATCGAAGCCCCAAGAGCCCCAAAAGCCCCAACAGCTCCAAAAGCCCCAAAAGCCCCAAAAGCCCTCGAAACCCCAAAAGCCCTAAACCCTAGCCCTAAACCCTAAACCCTCTAACCCTCTAAACCCTTCGCCCTCTCCAGGCCCTGAAGCCCAGAAGCCTCTGAGCTGAGAGGGCCCTAAGCCCTAAACCCTAAACCCTAAACCCTAAACCCTAAACCCTAAACCCTAAACCCTAAACCCTAAACCCTAAACCCTAAACCCTAAACCCTAAACCCTAGCCCCTAAGCCCCTAAGCCCCTAAACCCCTAAACCCCTAAACCCTACGCCCTCTGTAGGGCCCCGGCACGGCCTTTGCAGCCCATCCTGGTGGAAGTGGAGGAGGATGCCCACCTGGCACCTCGGCTCACAAGGGTTTAGGGTTTAGGGTTAGGGGCGTTAGGGCTTACTAGAATTTTCTGAGGGTTTTAGGCTCTCTTATAAGCCGGGTTGAGGGCGTCGGGCTTCGGGATTAGAGTTTAGGGAACCTGCATCCCTAAGCCCTGAACCCTAAGCACTAAGGCCGAAGCCCTAAGAACTAAGCCCGAAGGGGTTTAGGGTTTAGGGTTTAAGGTTTAGGGTTTAGGGTTTAGGGTTTATGGTTTAGGGAAGCCCGAAGCCCCGAAGACCCGATCCACTGCCAGGAGGAATGCCGCGAGGCCATCGAGGCCTGTCCCAAAAACCTAATCCTTAGGGTTTAGGGTTTAGGGTTTAGGGTTACACCCTATAATTCCTTAAACCTTATATCCTGTAAATCTTGTAAGCCCTATAAAACCCTATAAATCCCATAAATCCTAAAGAAACGTATAAATCCTATAAATCCTAAAGAAACCTATAAATCCTATAAACCCTTTAAATCCTATACACCCGAAACCTTAAACCGCAAACCAAAAGACCAAGCCCGATGTCTAAACCCCCGCTGGAGTCGTGCGCAGGGAAGTTGCATGTTGCATCTTGAAGTCAAGCTGGGAAGGCGAAACCCTAAGCCCTGCACCCTAAACCCTAAACCCTAGACCCAAAACCCAAACCCCAACCTCCAAACCCCAGAACCATGACCCCAAATAAGAGTGGGAACCGACTGAGGAAGCTGAAATATGAACAAAGTGTCCAACCATGATTGTGGTTAGGGTTTAGGGTTTAGGGGTTTGGCTTTAGGGTGTAGGGTTTAGGGTTGAGGGTAAAGCCTACACTCTGAACCCTCCAGCGGTTTCGATTTAGGGTTGAGGGTTCAGGGTTTTGAGACGGCATTAAGTGCCATGCCCTGTTTGTCGTTTAGGGGGCACAGGGCTCACGCTCTGGGCCCTAGATTTTGAACTCTGAACCCTAAACCCCGAGTGTTTAGTGGTTTGGGTTCAGGGTTTGAATTCCAGGGTTCAGGGTTCAGGGTTTAGGGTTTAGGGTGTAGGGTTTAGGGTTTAGGGCTAGAGATGTACTTGGATCCTTTGCAGGACACGAAGACAAGTGAGCCGAAGTGCGACCTGGAGCTCGCGCGGATCTTGGCGGACGCCCGGGAGAATGCCCGGAAGGAGGCGCGCGCTTGGGCACTTGGGGTTTAGGGTTTAGGGTTTGCGGTTTGGGGTTTGGGGGTTTAGGGGTGTAGGGGTTTAGGGGTTAGGGGTTTAGGGCTTTAGGGGTTTAGGGCTTTAGGGGTTAGGGGTTTAGGGGTTTAGGGGTTTAGGGGTTTAGGGGTTTAGGGGTTTAGGGGTTTAGGGGTTAGGGGTTTATGGTTTAGGGCTTAGGGTTCAGGGTTTGCGTAAGAGAGCGTGCCTCAAGCCCAAAAGCCTGCTTCGGTCGAGGGTTCAGGGCTTCTTAATCGGGACATGTTGTTCATTGGTTGTCCCTTTTTTGGGCATCCTCGAAGAAGACTCCGCTATATGTGCCTTCAGAGGTAGTATACGGTACCTCCGACGGTTTCTTGGGTCTCCTTCGGGACCCTTTGCGACTTGCTGCCCGCGCCAGATACTTCTTCAACATCACATGGCGTTTTGTTGGCACCCTGCACCCTGCACCCTACACCCACACCCTACACCCGAAGCCCTAAACCCTAAACCCTAGCCCTGAACCCTGAACCCCAACCCCAAACCTAGCCCCAAACCCTAGACCCGAAAGTGCGGGCCCGGGAGCAGTCACATGCCATCCCCTCTGCCAACAGACAAACTCTAGAAGTGTCTAGGATTTTGGGGTTTTGCGGTGTAGGGTTTTAGGGTTTAGTGTTGCCCTGAAGCCCTATTATCCGAAAACCCTAGAACCTTACTCTACCCCAGCCCAAACCATGACATGAACCCAGGGTACACCCTTAACAAAAGGGACCCAGAACTTCGAGAAGGGGACCATACGTCTAAGGTTGGAACCATGGGCCCTTTAGTTTGGTCCCTTACTCTTGTTTACAGGGTCTTGAGGGATCCGAAGGATGGGTCCTCATTATGTATAGTGTATATAACAGTTATAGGGTTTAGGGTTTAGGGTTTAGGGTTTCAAATTAAGGGCCCATAATTACTTCGGATCCCCTAATACAGGCAAGCAGAAAAGTTTAGGACCTCTGCCTGCCAGGCCCAACGAAAGAAGCCTCCGCCAGAGGCGAACAAACCAGGCAAGCACCATTGTGGGGTTGCGCTGCTTACTCCATAAACCCTACAAAACACGTTCAGTTTGGGGTTTAGAGGTTTAGTGGTTTAGTTGTTTGGAGCTTTGGAGGTTGATAGGGGTTGGGGATGGCAATGTGTTCTCGCAAGGTTCGGAACCAGACGAACCCTAAGCAAAACTGGCTAAAGTCAGTGCCATGCATCGTAAGTCAGTGAGACCCAAATCAACATGACACCCGAAACCCTGGGCAAAGACCAAAAAACCCACGAAGCCCCTGTACAGAGAAGTTTGGTTCACTCATGCCTAAACTTACTTGGAGGTTCATGGTACTCACTAACCACTTATAACTGGGCTTATAACCCTACTTATAATTGGGATAACCCCTTTAAGGCCCTTCAGGGGTATTATAAGTCGGGTTATAAGTACAGTTATAGTTGGTTAGTAAGTACCATGAACCTTCAAGTAGCAGCTTGTTCAGGATCTCACGTTACAGGGAGCTTGATGTGGGATCAGGGCAGCTGGGTTTAAGGAGAGTCCCAGTCTTGGGGCTTCCCTCTTGGTTGGAACGCGCTCGCTGGGTTTGGGGTTTAGGGTTTAGGGTTTAGGGTTCAGGGTTCAGGGTTCAGGGTTCAGGGTTCAGGGTTCAGGGTTCAGGGTTCAGGGTTTAGGGTTTAGGGTTTAGGGTTTAGGGGCACGCCATTACTTGGAAAGCCTTAAAAGCCCTAACCCAAAGCGTCGAGGCCAAGCGCGGCGCATTTTTGAGGCCCCAGTGCGTGAGGAGGACCTTGCAGACGCCGGGCACAAACATCATCTCACATGTGCTCCCTCAGGCCTCAGGCGTAAACTCCCTGGCGGTTTAGGGTTTAGGGTTTAGGGTTTAGGGTTTAGGGTTTAGGGTTTAGGGTTTAGGGTTTAGGGTTTAGGGTTTAGGGTTTAGGGTTTAGGGTTTACGTAGGGTTTAGGGTTGGGTTATTCAGGGTTGAGCCCCCACCCCCCCCCCCTCACCCACAGATCCTGCCCCGATGTGAGCTCGTCATCTCTCTGAGGGCGCCTAAAGACCCGAAGCCCTAATATGGTTTAGGGTTCAGGGCCTAAAAACCCCTAAGCCCTGCAACCTTCGACAAAACCAACAAAAGACCCCCAACCACGAACAACTTCCAAGCCGCCAAGAACTTTAGCTTTCGGAATGAGCAGCCGCCCATTGCCTACTTCCGAGATCGGAAGGTCTCTCGCTGCTTGGCTTCGAGTGAGGTGTTGAAGGGCAGACTCTTGGGGGGATTCTTGGGGAGATTCAGAGCCTCGGGCTAGGTTTAGGCTTTAGGCTTTAGGCTTTAGGGCTTTAGGCTTTAGGCTTTAGGCTTTAGGCTTTAGGCTTTAGGCTTTAGGCTGGAACATTGATCAAGCTTAAGCCTCACACCCTGAACCCGGGCTTCCAACTCATCTCACCCGGGCTCAGGCACGCGAGTTCCTGGCAAGGGCCGGGATATCGAGAAGGGAAAGGCGCCAGAAGCAAGAGTCAAGGGACTAGAGGAGGGACCCCTTATAAGGGACCCTAGGGGTTATTTAGGGATTCTTTGGGGGGCTACTGAGGTATGAATATATGGGGCTATATTTATAAGGTACACATATACCCCAGGAACGAAGTGGCGGCATGGGTTTTCGTTCTCTGGGCATGAGTGTAAGCTTCCTGAGGTTTGAGGGTTTTGGGTACGGGGCTTCTTCAACGCTCGGCGCTCCTTCCCGAACAGGAGATCCTCTGAAGTGAAGCCTCTTAAAGCCCTCGCATACATACTGCCAAAACCCTCAACCCCAAAACCCTGTAGCCTTCTCACGAAAGCTGAAAGGCTTTCGTCTTTGAGCGACGCAGGTCTGGGGCTGGCCCACGCTATGGAGAGCATCCGCCCCCAAGCCGCCTCTCCCCATCCTCCCTCCTGCCTTCTTTCTGGCCGCCGTGCCTCAACCCTAAACCCTGAACCCTGAACCCTAAACCCTAAAGACTCGACCCTCAGCCCTAACCCTAAGCCCTAAGCCCTAAACCCTAAACCTATGCCGCTTTCTAAAAGAATGCTGCGGGAGGAGTCGCACTTGCGACGCAGTACCCCCAAGCAACCATCAGCTGTTCATGTCTACAACACCCTAAGCCCTAAGCCCTAAGCCCTAAGCCCTAAGCCCTAAGCCCTAAGCCCTAAGCCCTAAGCCCTAAGCCCTAAGCCCTAAGCCTTAGCCCAAAACCCTAAACCCTAAACCCTAAACCCTAAACCCTAAAACCCTAAACCCTAAACCCTAAACCCTAGACCCTAGACCCTAGACCCTAGACCCTAGACCCTAAACCCAAACACGTGGGCTCAAGGTTTCAGGTCTTGGGGTCAGGGCTTCGAGTTGTCAATGCTCCGGAGGTCTTCGACAGCTTCAAGTTCCTCACCGCCCGCGACGACGAGCCGGATACTGCACCAGCCGCCCACAGACCAGCACCTGGGAGAAGTTTGGAGTTCAGGGTTTATATAGGGTTTTGGGGTTTAGGGTTTATGGGTTTAGGGTTTAGGGTTTAGGGTTTAGGGTTTAGGGTTTAGGGTTTAGGGTTTAGGGTTTAGGGTTTAGGGTTTAGGGTTTAGGGTTTAGGGTTTAGGGTTTAGGGTTTAGGGTTTAGGGTTTAGGGGGACCAGCACCTGGAAGAAGTTTGGAGTTCATTCAGGATTCAGGGGTTTTGGGGTTGTGGCGTTTTGGGTTTAGGGTTCAGGGTTTAGGGCTTAGGGTTCAGGGTTTAAAGTTAGGGTTGAGGTTCAGGGTTTAGGGTTTAGGGATGAGGGTTTAGGGTTTAGGGTTAGGGATTCCGGCCCAATCTTTGGAGGTCACTCAAACACACCGAAACCCGAAAGTGTAAACTGATGAGGGGTTGGGGCTGTGACGCTTCGAGTGCTCCGCCCACAATGTCCGAGAATCCGCAAGCACCAGTCATGGTCCCTGCTTTAACAAGCTATTGGTACCCCAACCCCAAACCCTAAACCCTGAACCCTAAACCCTAAACCCTAAACCCTTGGAGCTCTTAAAGCCCCAGACCCTCAAGCCCAAGGTAGGGTATTTGTAGGATGCGTGCATACTTTGAGTGAGAGAGAGGGTTTTGGGGTTTAGGGTTGAGGATTTAGGGTTTAGGGTTTAGGGGTTAAGTTCAGGGTTTATGGGATTGCGACCGGGGTCCAATCTCAAGGAAGCCGCACAAGAAGCGCACGCGGTCAGCTCTTTCAATTATGGTATCTACCGGGATGCCGACCTTGTTCTACTAAACCCCGGGAGCCCTAAACGCCCGATAAGCCTCAGAAACCCTAACCAGCCCCAAGAACACTAAACCCTAAACCACAATCTTGAACAGCCCCATACAGGCTAAACAGCTCCCCAAAAGCCAAAAAAATGCTAAGAAACAACCGAAGCCACAACATAAGAACCCTCAACCACAAACCCTATAAGTCGTAAACCCTAACAACCTTGAGCCACCCTAAACCCTAAACCCTAAACCCTAAAACCTAAACCCTAAACCCTAAACCCTAAACCCTAAACCCTAAACCCTAAACCCTAAACCTGTCTTTCGAGGCCTCGAAACAGGGACTCGTCCCCTGGAAAGTGGTCTACCCCTCACCGGTGGCCATGCGATCCACGCCGAAGGTCTGGGATGGTCTAGGGTTTAGGGTTTGGGGTTTAGGGTTGAGGGTTTAGGGTTTAGGGTCTCTCTCTCTCTCTCTCCCTCCTTGCTTGAGGCTTAGGCGTTCAGGGATCAGGGATTGGGGTCTCTGGAATTTGTTCGGGGCGTAGGTTCTGAGGCTTCGGTTGGGGGATGGTTGTTCTTCCCATGTCCTAGTCGGATGCCTTACATCATAATACCCCCCATATGAAGTTGGTGGGATTGTATAGGGACCCTTTGTTAGGGTTTGGGGTTCAGGGTTTAGGGCTTAGGGTCTATTTAAAATGCTTTTGCTTCGCGCGTGGGTCGTTGAGGATGGGCACGGGGCGTAGAGTCCAAGGGTGCAGGGCGTGCTGGGGGGCCATGAGTTTTGGGCTGTTTCGGGTTCAGGGCTTCGGGTTTTGTTTCATGCAATTTACACCCTAAACCCTAAACCCTTTGGGGGTCTCAGGGCGGGCTCGGGTTGCCCAAGGATGGTGGTAACTCAGACACGTGAAGCTGGTATTCAACACTTCAGCCCTCCGAACCTTAAGCCCTCATGGATTTGGATGATCTACAGGGTTTAGGGTCTAGGGCTAGGGTTTAGGGATGTGGGGTGTATTGCTAGGGTTTAGGGTCTAGGGGTTTAGGGTTCAGGGCTTACCGGGTTTAGGAGCAATCTTGTTGGGGGGGTGGGGGGGGCGGGGGGGGGGGGGGGGGCGGGGTGTCGGTTTTGGTTTTTTCAGTGCCTAGAGGGTTCCATCCGCTCAGCAGGCGACGGGACGGCTTGTCGGGCAGCTTCACCCAGGACCTTTAGGGTAGATAGGGTTCAGGGTTTAGGGTTTAGGATTTAGGGTTTAGGGTTTATGCAGGGTTCAGGGTCTGGGGATGAGGGCTTATGGGGCTTCGGGTTTGAAGGGTTTATAGGGTTAATAACGGGTTTACAGGGTTGAGGAGGTGCATGGGGTTTACAGGGCTGTAGAGCATGGGGGTTGAAGGGTTTATTTGGTTAACAGGGTTTATGTGGCTTACGGGGTTTATGTGGCTTACAGGGTTTATAGGGCTTCACAGGGTTTATGGGGTTTAAAGGGTTCATGGGGTTTAAGAGGTTTGTGGGGTTTATACGCTTTGTGGGGTTTACGAAGGTTGTATCCCCTTTAAGGAGCCACAAAGAGAGGTTTGCACTTCTGAAACCCATCCAGTACGCTGCCGATGTCGGCGAATGCACGGCCTGGCCTGGACACGCCAAACTTGACAAGCGCTGGGAAGAGGGGTAGAGAGAGCAAAGGAAGAGTACAGGAAGAGAAGAAGAGAAAGGCAATTTGGATTGCCATGTGAGGCGGTGTGGCAGCCAATGCTGCCACGCCCAAGCGAGCTCATCGGCGAGCTTATTGCTGCGGGGGGAGCTTTTGGTCGAGAAGCCGGGGACGGAGGGATGTGCTAACAGCACCCTAAACCCTAAACCCCAAGATGCCGGGATGCTGCCTTGCTTCATCGGGTTTCACAAGGGAAGGAATAACCCTAAACCGTGGCCCTAAACCCCAAACCCCAAACCCTAAACCCCCTATAAACCCCAGACACCCAGACACCCATAAGCCCTGTAAACCCTATAGCCCATAAACCTCACAAACCCCATACAATAGGGTTTAGGGTTGAGGGTTTAGGGTTTAGGGTTTAGGGGAGATCGGCTCACCGCGAACTGCTGGGAGGAGACATCGCCTACTGCAGTTCGAAGGAGCGGGCCGGCGATTGGGTCCGAGTGGAAGAGGCGCCACGGGTTTAGGGTTTAGGGTTTAGGGTTTAGGGTTTAGGGTTTAGGGTTTAGGGTTTAGGGTTTAGGGTTTAGGGTTTAGGGTTTAAGGCCTAAGAATCCCTGGTAAGTGTCCCGTTTCATGCCGATCCAGTCCACCAAGCCATGGCACATATACATCGGGCCACCGTACTCATGCGTCAAGCGTCCAGAGCACGGTGTTTACCCGTCACGAGCTCGGGCCTGCAAATATCAGCTGATGTCTAGGGTTACCGAGATTTCTCCACGATCGAAAGTCCACGGGCAAGCCGAATTGACTCCGAACCTGTTTTGCACAAGTGGCCCCGGGCAAAGACAAACATGCAGAACACAAGCTCTCCTCAGAACAAGCTCTCTCACAAGTTCTCTCGCATCTCACCCTCTTGCACACACGGACACACTCAGAGAGTCTCATGACGCTGCTGCCACAACTGCAACATACGCAACATAGGGGCCTGATAATTTGAAAGAATGTGGAATGTGTATGTGGGTCGTGCATTTTTCTGTTTTCGTCGTCCGGGGGAGAACACGCTAGGGCTTATGCTAGTGGCAAGAAATCTCCAAGTCAGGTTTGTCCGGCAAGCCATAAGGCCCCACGAAACACCAAAACGACCCAAAGCTATCCTTAGCGGAAAAAGCCCTCAAGGCCAGCCCTAGATCTCCCCTAAACCCTACACCCCTAAACCCCTAAACCCTAAACCCTAAACCTCGAATGCCAGGTTCCTGGCCAGAATCTCCCGGACGAGGTCTGGGTCCTCACGGATGGAACGGAGCCCCTCGGCCACGGCTTTCGCAGTAGAGATCGGGCTTCAGGGCTTCGTGTGGGGGGGGGGGGGGGGTTCAGGGTTGAGGGTTCAGGGTTTGGGGTTTAGGGTTTGGGGTTTGGGGTTTAGGGTTCACAGGTGAGGCACTTGCAATGCGGAGGGGGAAGGGGGGAGGGGGGAGCAAGACCTAGGAGGAACTGTGAGGACCCGTCAAGGTACTGAACCTTGAACCCTAAACCCGAAACCCTAAACCCCAAACCCTAAACCCTAGCCCTAAACCCTAAACCCCAAGCTCCTGAAGATGTTCCACCCATTCGCGCCAAGGTTTGGCATGGGCGTCCTGCTTCAGCAGGTTGATGCGAAGGCCAAGAAGTAGTCCTCCTGAGCCCCCGAGGCGTAGGCGTCGGACAAATCTCTCGACTCCCGGGCCACCCCTGAAATCGCGACCCTACTGGATCGGGTTTAGGGTTTAGGGTTTAGGGTTTAGGGCTTAGGGCTTAGGGCTTAGGGCTTAGGGCTTAGGGCTTAGGGCTTAGGGCTTAGGGCTTAGGGCTTAGGGCTTAGGGTTTAGGGTTTAGGGTTCGGTTCATGCGTAGTTGTTAAGTCAGGCTATGTTCACCCTAAATCGGGTTGACACCAGTTATAGCCCAAGTTAGCAAACCTGTACCCCCAGTTATAACCACCCATGAACCTCCAAGTAAACAGTGTCGGGAAACACTGCTCAGGGTATAGAGGTCCCCCAGATGTTCAGGAATCCTAAACCCCAAGCCTTAAAACCCTAAACCCCAAGCCATAAACCCCAAACCCTAAACCCCCAACCCCAAACCCTGAACCCTCAACCCCAAACCCTGAACCCTAAACCCAAAACCTAAACCCCAAACCTTAAAGCCCATGGTTCCAGTACAGAAGACCGCAGCTTCCAAGCACCTATGCATTCCCAAGTTTCCGAAACCCCACCAGCGCACGTGGGACCCTCAACCCTGCACTAAACACTAAACCCTAAAGCCTAAACTCTAAACCCTCAACCCTAAACCCTAAACCAGAATTCTTTCATCGCGGCACTCTCGGGCTGAAGAAGGGGCCAAAAGCCAGCAGCCCTCAGACTTTAGAGCTCTAAGAAGGGGATGGTAGGAGAAGTAGCCCTAAACCCTAGCCCTAAACCCTAAACCCTAAACACTACAAAGATCTTGAAGCTCCCCCTAAACTCACCGAAATAAAAAAAGACAATCGTTGGACCAAGACGTCGAGAAGCTCTCCCCAACTCTTTAATCGCGGCTCCCAGTGACTTTCTGCCCTGGCGCAGTCTCCATGACGAGCCGTGCCGATACGGGGAAAAAGCTGCGGGCTTCAAGGGTTTAGGGTTTGGGGTTTGGGGTTTGGGGTTTAGGGTTTAGGCTCAAAACGTCCCCAAAGCCCCGAAAGCCTCAGGGTTTGGGGTTCAGAACTCTGCGTGCAAGGACGAAAGGCTTACAGACCGCTGGCACTACCACGGAAACACTCTGTGCCTTAATCTCCTTGGCAAACATCAGAACTCTCCCCCTGAAACCCACCCCAAACCCGAAGCCCTAACCTCTTCGGGATGAAGGGCTTAGCCTAAACCCTAAACCCTAAACCCTAAACCCTAAACCCTAAACCCTAAACCCTAAACCCTAAACCCTAAACCCTAAACCCTAAACCCTAAACCCTAAACCCATACGAGTCCTGGGCTCTCGCTTTGCACTGTCAGTTGTTCCCCAGGGTTGCACTGTAGGGCTCACGGTTCATGCTGAAGGGTTTAGGTTGGTATGTTCCCCCTGTATACTAACACGCCTTAATAAACATGATAGTACTTCCTATTATAATTCCTGTTAGGGCCTGTTAGTATAAGGGTGAACATCCCAAGGTTTAGGGACCATGGGCTTTAGGGTGTAGGGCCTTGGGCCACCGGAGCCCGTAAGCTCTACGTCAACCCTCCGCTGTGGTTGACTACTATTTGCTTAAGAACCCCTCAAAACATGCATTTAAAAAAAGGAAGAATCCCTATTGCCTTTATAAGGAAGGAAATACGTTCTATTTTTGGGGGATGGGGGGTTTCTTAAGCAAATAGTAGTTGCGAGGCTGCGTCCAAAACAGCCAGTGCCCCTAAAGCCCAAGCAAGACAGCCCCTGCGCTTCAGAACTCCTCCGCAACGTGTTGTGCCCTCTTGGCGCTCAACTTCAGGAGTTGTTTGTTAATGCTTTGGGAGTTAAGAGAAGGGAGTGAATTACAAGGCACCTAACTTACAGGGCTTCCTCGTCATGCCCTTTTGGGTTTAGGGTTTAGGGCCCTAACTCCTTGAGACCAACCGAAGTCTTAGCTCAGCAATGGTTGTTGTCCGGTCGTTTGTTTGCAGGCTGCACATGCTGGGAGGCGCATGGTACGTATTAACCAAGTACTTCTAAACCCACGTATAAGCCCCTTAAGTTCCCTAAAATGCCTATAAGTACACTTAGTACAGCTCGGTTAATGAGTACCATGAACCTCCAAGTGGAGGATCGGGGGACCTCAAACCCTAAACCCTAAACCCTAAACCCTAAACCCTAAACCCTAAACCCTAAACCCTAAACCCTAAACCCTAAACCCTAAACCCTAAACCCTAAACCCTAAACCCTAAACCCTAAACCCTAAACCCCAGACTTGACATGAAGCTTTGAAACGCCACGCCGGCATCCCCGCAGCACGTTCGGGTCGGCAGCCGCTGGCTTTTTTGGGGCAAGCGATGCCCAGAGAGGCCTGGGGTTTAGGGTTTAGGGTTTAGGGTTTAGGGTTTAGGGTTTAGGGTTTAGGGTTTAGGGTTTAGGGTTTAGGGTTTAGGGTTTAGGGTTTAGGGCAGCGGAGTCGGGGGAGATTTCGTACAGAGCTGGAGGGGCCCCTGAGCAAAAAAAGTCCTGCCAGCCGACCCACGAAACCCAGCAGACCAAGTCGGACAAGAGAACGGGGTCTCGGGAGGAACTCGCTCATTCCACATCCATCTCCGCAGAGTTTCGGATTAGGGTCTACAGGGTTCAGGGTTGAGGGTTCAGGGTTCAGGGCTTAGGCCTCAGGGTTGACCGCGAAGCTGCAATCTCATGAAAACTTGCCGAGTCGCATGCAGGGTTCGGGTTCATGGGACCCCTAACGAAGTCTGACCCTGAAACCCCGGAAGCTCTACACTCCAAACCCCAAAAACCCTGAAACGGGCCCTAAACCCTAAAGCCCCGGCGCCTCGCTTTAAGAGGTCAAGAGCCGCGCGCGGGCGTGTGGGCCTCGGAAAGCTCTCCGGGGGAAAGGCTTCCCTAAGAGCGTACGTTTGGGGAAATGAGGGTTTAGGGTTTACGTAGGGTTTATATAGGGCTTATGTAGGGTATTTATAGGGTATCTATGGGGTTTATATAGGCTTTAGGGTTTATATAGGGTTTAGGATTTATGTAGGGTTTAGGGTTTAGGGCTGTTTAGGGGGGAAGGGGCGAAGGCTAGTTAACATGGGCCCTTCTTGTGGTCCCTTTACCTCCGTGATTTACCCGCCACTGGGGGAGCAAAGAGTCTTCGGCATTCAGAACGAAGCGGACGTCCCTCCAGAGCGAGCCCTGGGGCTGAGGGTTTGAGTTTAAGTTTGGGGTTTAGGGTTTGGGGTTCAGGGTTTAGGGTTTAGGGGTTTGGGTCTTAGTCGTCAGGGTTTCGGGGTTTGGGGGTTTGGGGAGGATGTTTGCTGCTTTGGCTTTCGGGGTTTAGGGTGGAGAGACGTCCAGCAGGATCCTGGCACAGCAACCTCGATCCGTGCTTTGTTTAAGGGTTAGGTGTGGGAGGTGTGGCTCTCGTTCGCTGCTTCTTGCCCTGGTTCCTGTCCACTACCGGTTGAGGTTTGCTGCTGACTGTTTAGGGTTTAGGGTTTAGGGTTTAGGGTTTGATGCTGAGGTTCCTCCAGGCACAACAAGCCAGAGTTGCATCGCTGAGTCTGAAGTGCTTTGCGGGCTTTAGGGCAGTCAGGGATTGGCGTGCAAGTGTTCACAGTGCATGTGTACACGGGCATTCATGGTAGCAGAGCTGAATGCGTACAAACGTCGGTATACATCATGCTGCATACGTATATATACGTATATATATATATATACGAACCCTAAACCCCTAAACCCCAAAACCCCTAAACCCTAAACCCCAAACCCTAAACCCTAAACAAACAGAGAGAGAGAGAGAGTGGATAGGTACAGATTCACGGCCCATGTATTGAGATGACAAGACGACCCTAAACGGGTAGGGTATGTTTTTTGTGTTTTTTTTCTGTTTTTTAAGCAAGAAAAAAAGAAAGACGGAAAGAGAGAAAGAAAAAAAGAAAGAAAGAAAGGAAGAAAGGAAAGCAAGACAGAAAGAAATAAAGAAAGAAAGGAAGAAAGAAAGGAAAGAAAGAAAGAAAGGAAAGCAAGACAGAAAGAAAGAAAGAACTAAAGAAAGAAGGGCCGAAAGAAAGGAAAGCAAGACAGAAATAAAGAAAGAAAGAGAGAAAGAAAGAAAGAAAGAAATAAATAAAGAAACAAAGAAAGAGAGAAATAAAGAAGGAAAGCAAGACAGAAAGAAAGAAAGAAAGAGAGAAAGAAAGAAAGAGAGAAAGAAATAAAGAAAGAAAGACAGAAAGAAAGAAAGAAAGAAAGAAAGGAAAGCAAGACAGAAAGAAAGAAAGAACTAAAGAAAGAAAGGCCGAAAGAAAGGAAAGCAAGACCCCAGAAAGAAAGAAAGAAAGAGAGAAAGAAAGAAAGAAAGAGAGAAAGAAAGAAAGAAAGACAGAAAGAAAGAAAGAAAAACCCCCCCCCCCGCTTTGTTTAAGCCGTGCAAGCTTGCCTCAAAGCATATGCCATATGCACACTTTTGCGGAAACCCATCATGCGAGAATCGTCACATTTTCGGAAACCCATCATGCGAGAATTGTGTTTGCAAATGGGGGGGGCTGCGCCCCCCCCAACCCCCCCGCTTTCTCAAGCCGTGCAAGCTTGCCTCAAAGCATATGCCATATGCACACATTTTCGGAAACCCATCATGCGAGAATCGTGTTTGCAAATGGGGGGGGGCTGCGCCCCCCCCAACCCCCCGCTTCCCGCAACACACCCTACACCCTAAACCCTAAGCCGTAGTTCCGGACTGAAGGGGCAATGATACGAGGAGCAACCTTGACCCCGCAAACCGTAGAGCCTAATAAGACCCAAACCGTCCACCATAAGCCGCAAATCCTGATAGAATGTTCGCGGCCGACATGCGCAGTAAGCCCTAAACCGAAGCAAAGTTTCAGATTGAAGCATCCGAGGTTCCTCTTGAACTAGCCCCGGACGTTAACTAGCTTGTGAGTCCTGTCGGGGCCAACGATGGCCGCCCCGACGCTCCAAGCGCGAGTTGCAAAACGACGAAGGGTTGGACGTAATGTGTTGTTGTAGCACGTTGAGATTTGGACCTGTTCCGGACACGCGGTGCCGCTGAGAAGCCATCGGAAGCTGAAAACCAGCAAAATTCACCAAAAAAACCAAAAAATTGCACAGAAAAGAATTCCCACCAGAGGAGGACGACAGGCAGAACCAGGAGGGCATGTTCTGAAAACCACAAGAAAAGCAAGAAAAAACAAGAAAATTCACAAAAAAAAAAAAACAGAAAAATTGACAAAAAAAATCCTCGCTCCCCTAAACCCTAAACCCTAAGCCCTAAGCCCTAAGCCCTGAAGGTCCTCGGCACAAGCCGAGCAGATCGTGGCGGCTGCGAG